TTTAATGCGTTTCTTTTGTCGACTGAATGCTGATGAATTTATAGACCTTTTTCTCAAAATGCAAAATTACCTATTATGCTTTGCGTGTATGTGCACGGAGAATGTTAAGAACTTCCGGTCGGCAGCTAATGCGTGTAAACAGTCACATTGAGAGAGCTTTGAAGCAATAGTTTTAATCTATTTTTACCTGCTTTTATCATCTTTGAACTAATACTGTTGTCGATCAGCGCCACTTCCTGGACTGATCATTTAAAAAAATGTGATCTAGTGGGAGGGAAAACATCTGCTGTAAGGCATTTTCCCCTCGTTGTCAGACGGCATCTTCTGCAGTTTAAATGGAGCCTCGTCATCGTTAAAGTCAACATTTTCTCTTTCTTTCAAATATATAACCAACCCAAACAAATACTTGTTAAGTTTCATGCCAGTATTCTGGTTTGCTCTGTGATGCAGTGAAGTATTGTGCGAGCGTGCGTGTATTGAAGAGCCGTTGAGCTAACAGCTGACAGGCTGGTGAAACACACACACACTGTATTTCTGAAGGCAGACACATAAACTAGGACAACGTTTTTCTCTCGCGCTTGAACCCCATCTGACAGATTATTACAGCTTTAACACACACCTTTCAAAGTTGTGTCACAAAAACTCTTCATAATTCACTCAAAACGCCATTGAATCACCAGTTATAAACGCTGTAAATGGAAATTCTAACAGGGTCCCCACGGGGTCTTAAAAAGTATTAAAGTCTTAAATTAAAAAATCGAAATTCATGGCTTTAAAAAGTCTTAAATTTGCTGTTCTAGGTCTTAAATATTTTTGCACAGGTCTTATTTTTGCGATGTCCATGTAACGCTACATCTAATGCACATTTAAATTCTTTTTGTTGTTGTTGCTAGGTTTTTGGGGTGTTGTAGTTCTTTATTTCTCTATTCCAATTGTAATTTGCGGTATTACAACTACAAAAAAGTCAACTTGCAATAGCAAATAGCCAGCTTTCTGATATTAAACTCAGTGCGCGCGGCGCATGTGACATCATTGCTGTGTTTGCTGAGGTTCGCTTTGAGTGCGCGCGACATGATTTCGGCTGGCAGAGTATGGCGTTATTTCACTGACAAATGTCGCAAGCGCAGTTTTATAAGTCGGGAGCGCTGTAATACGAGAGAGCGAATCTCTGCTCGCGGGCTGGTTTCCTTTGTTCATGGACAAAATTGCTTGCGAGCTCTCAAAACACTGGCTGCTCACGTGTGAATGATCTGCTGTCGCTCCGTCGGACTCCTTTCGTGCTTTTCCAGTGATGCTTCAGCATACTGTAGTATTAGGAATAGTGAACTGATAACTGATAACAACTGTGTTGAATTGTAGAAAAATATACCCTATATTGTAAAAAAAAAAAAAAAACTAAAGCACTGGGTAGTTTGTTTTTAATACACTTGTTGTGTTACCATAGCAACTATAGTATTACCACAACAAATTAATTGAAGCACTTTACTGTACTTTACAAAACACTGTACAGCAGACACTAGTTCACTTTATTTTAGTGATAAAATGGAATTGATAGTAGGATTTATTTGAAGAGTGAATAGTACAGTAAGCTATAATACCTAATCAAGTTGTTACCTATTTTCTATCACAGTTACATTTCTGCTTGCCAGAATGACTAATAATTATTGGCTAGAAATTGCAACAGCCATGGGAAATTTAACCTGACTTTAGTACTGTTCAATTTAAATAACTTTATTTTACCCATAATTTTGTGCTTTTACAATTTCTCTCGTGTGTTTTTGATATTGCGATATAGGTCTTAAATTTAATACTTAATTGTCTTAAAAAGGTCTTAAAAGGTCTTAAATTTGACATTATCATATCTGCAGAGACCCTGTCTAAGCATATGCGTCATATCTGAGGAGAATGATGCAGATTTCGAAAATCCTACTTTCCCTCATTTTACTTTGATTGAAAAGTATGTTTTTTTTAATTATCTTTTAAACACAATACACATGCGGATAAAACAAAAAGCTCTAAAATAACCATACCAGAAGTCATCTATCCCACATTGCAGTTATTTTTACTTTAAAATACGCATCTTCTATTTCAGGGCCTCTAGATGTGATTGATGTAGACTGGTCCAGCTTGATGCCCAAGCAAAAACAGGAGCCCAGAACTCCTGGAGCTGCTCTGCTCCGATTCACTCCAGGGGCTGTACTCCTCAGAGCAGGAGTGTCCAGACGTTTAGCTGGGCCTCAGCTCCTTGCCAGAATTAAAGAAGTGTGTGCCAGAGAGATTGAAGACCCTAAAGGTAAGTCTGCAAATCTACCTTTGAAAATACTCTAGTTTAACTATAAATGAAACTATACTAACAGCACTTATTGCCAATCACCAAAAAATATTATTTTTATGGTAAGCTATAGTAGTTGTACAGATGTTCTAAATAAACAGGTGACATTAATCTCCATATATGTATCCATAGATGCTGATAAACTCCTAGAGCATGATCTGGGTGCTCTGAATATGGCAGCATACAACAGAAGAATGGAAAGGGCCAGTCTACTGAGGAGCTTGGGTCCTTGCTGCAAGGCACTGTGTGCTCGGCGAGACATTGCCATACGTAGACAGCTCCTGAAAAATGATAAGGTGATTAGGGCATCTCTTTCTGTGATTTATAGGTTTTCTGAAACTGAATGAAGAAACTCGACAGATATCAAGTAGAGAATTTAGGAGATTATTATTGTTAGTGTTTTATTAAATAGATTAATTTACCCACTGAAGTGTTCAGATAAATCATCCAGTGTTTTTGCATTTAAATTACCTAAAAATCTCTTTATACTTATAATTTACTTGAGATTTTATTAAAAATGTCAAGGATATATCACTCCTTAATAATTTTCTATGCAAATAATTTTCTCGCCCTCAGGCCACGAGTTTTATTTATTTATTTATTTTTTTGGTCCAGTAGGACTGTAAAGAAGATTTTTAGATGAAACTTTGGTCCATTATCATTCCTAAATTGCTAATCAATCGAAACCATTGCTACAAGGGTCAAAACATCTTTTCACAGTGACCATGATCCCTGTAGATATATTGAGGACTTATGAATCTAAATAAAACTGAATATTCCCTGCAATATTTAACCTTGGATAAATAGGGTAATCTAATTGTTGTTCTTTAGTCTTCTATTATTTTTTATATAAGTATGTAGTATGTTTATTCAGAAGTTAACTAATTAATTTATCTTTGCCATGATGACTGCATATTTTACTTGTAGCAAAAGCTGCACAATATTGGAAAGATCTGATATTGCTATATTTTAATGCAATAAATATTGCGATGTAAATACAGTTTCACAGGATAGTTGAAGAGTTCTATTTGACGGTCTAACTGTGTTCAGGTACAGAAAGTGAATAATCGCAAAGCAAAACATGCTTTCCTTTTTTTGCTTTGTCTCAGTTATAAATAGTTTAGATAAAAATACTGTTTTTGTTTTAAAATTTAGCCAAAATTAGGCAAAATTAAGAGTTTTTCCTTAAAACAAGTAAACTTATCTGCCAGTTGGGTAAGTTTTATTTTCGCTATGAAATATAGATATTTGGACTTGAAACAAGACAAAAATTCTAAGTAAGAAAATTATTTAAGAATAATATAAGAATAATTATTATTAATTATTTTATTTATTTATTGCATAGTGATTAAATAAAATTCTGTAGCTACTGGTCAACTATAATCCAGACTTAACATTGCATATCTTTGCCATGTGACTATTGCAGATGCGCACATTCACATATCGATGCTAAAATTATATATTCTGCAGCCCTATATTGGAAAACAGTGGCTTGTGCTGAGGCAATCGAAAAAAAAGCCTTTTTTATTTTGTATTCCAGCCAAACTAAAAGAAATTAGACTTTCTCTTAAAAAAACCTATCTAAATAGTGTCTTGAGGTGTGGTGACCATAGTATGAGCAGTATAAGTAAAAAAAAGCACTGTTCACACACAGCGATCATGCATACATCTATTTGATTTAATGCTGCTTTATTTTTCCTTACAATAGGGCACCACTAAGCAGATCTATACAAGCGCTCCAGTGGTGGACAATGAACTTGTGCAACTGAGTTTGCGACTCTTTAAAAAGAAAATGGCTTCTACTCAGTCAAGCGGACAGGACAAGACTGATTCAGCTTCTGCAGCTCAACAGCTGAATACACCAACAGAGATGTGCGTCTCTTGAGCACACTTAGTGAGTACAGTCTGAAAGAACTGATCTCAGATCATCGTTAACCCATACTTTTCATCAGTTATTGTAACACTGAAACTGTTTTGAAGTCAGTGCTGATGGAGGATTGCTGCCCTAAACCTGACCAGATCACAGATCCATAGAGACTGGAAAACACTAGCCTGTGGAAATGCTGTCTTAAGGTTTCATGACCTTTGAACTTTGACTCAGAAATGTGATAATTATGTACTGCATAAAAACTGTGTCATTAACATTTGTTTTAGAGACTTTTTGTAATGCCTGATGTGTGTGAATGACGGTTGCTTGTGGGCTATACAATGGGTACTGAAGATGTACAATAAAATGACTGTATTTGTTCTGTGCATCTGACTTGCGGTCCCCTTGTTTGTCAGTTTTGTTTTGAAATGTTTTGTGATCAGTCTGCTTCAGCACTCTTTGTTTGCAGTACTACTTTGTTTTATTAAAACATGATTCAAGAAGAAAATGTGTTTTTTTTATCAACCATATTGCTTGTTTTATGAAATAAAATATTTTATACAGAGGATATTGTGCGTAAATAATACATTTTATAAATGAGTACTTCACTATTTGCTTATATTGCATGGCAATAATAAAACAGTAGTGCAAAGATCTGTAATTTAGAGATCCTGTCATTTTATAAGAAATACGAGGCAGTCTGCATAAAACAAACGAGTTCTGTCATTTCTATCGCTTCCGCGTTGAAGTCCTCCTCTATCCCATCATGCACTTCGTGACGGATGACGTGTCTAAGGAGTCAGATGCTGCTACGCAGGCAGCGGTTACGCTAACGCTTGTGCTTAGACATCACCAATGTCTAAATTTTGACACCCATATCTACATTTCACGCATGTAAATACATCTACAGATTACTTAATTAGTCGGTCGTGGCAAAATGGTCGAGTTCCACCGTGTCCGTGTTGTATTTGTGTCGCTTTTCGTGTGCGGGTTGTTGCGGGACGCGTTGAGTTTCTATCTTCCTGGTTTGGCCCCGGTCAGCTTCTGTAAGAAAGAAGCGGGCGACAAAAACAGCGAAGTCCCAGACTGCAAGGTAAATATTCACATTTAGAAGTGTACTAAATTAGTTTGCTTAAACGTATGAGATGTCTCTTGGTTTTTGTTTAGTTTTTTCTTTATTGCCGTCCGTATGTTGCGTGATGCTAGCTCGAAATGCTATTCCGGGGTCAGTTGTGAAAAACCTATGATCTTAACTCACTTAAAGAATAGCCGTTTTATCTCTTTTATTCATTTTAGCGTCGTAAAGGGTAAGTTTAACGTTAGTCAAATGGTTTGTGTGGCCTAACGTTAACGTTACATGATAGAGGCGCGGTTCTTACTCAACTGTCACTCTCGAACTAAGCTTAGACTTTCAATTTGTTCGTTAACGTTACTTTTTTATTGTAAAATTCGGGTTTTATTTACCGTTTTTCTGTGAAAGCCTTGGCTTTTGTTTTGAGATTAATTAGCAATTGGGTACGTTGACAAAAAGATCAATAACTTACCTGACAGGATCAGTAACCGTGACGTTAACTTGCTTGCATTGAATGGAAATAATAGCATTTAATTGCTTGGCAAAAAGTACTCTCGCCTCATCCTGTTTATTGTATTTCTAATAATATCTATAATAGTATAGAAATAAAATGAGGAATCAAATTATCAGTTAAACTTTTAATTAATCGTATTTAATTTATGTTTTGAAATGCTGATAATTCAAACAGTAAAAATTGATATTAATGAACCAATTAAATGCACATCTTTTTAAAGGCATTTGTCTAATGTCATTCTCTCTATTTGCCACATGCTTTTGTAGAGTTAAAATTAAATCGAGTTAACCCTACTGTAAAAATGCCATTGGACAGTCCTGAAGTTAGATTTAATGATTAATTAAAATCTTGTTTTTAAGTTTGATTAATCAGCGTTTTAAAACATGAATTCAATAAACAGTTATAAAATTGTCTATTTATTTATACATTTGAAATTATTTCTAAATGCATTGTTTTATTGCTTTATTAAATTACATTTAAAAACACAATTTAAATAGACAAATTTAAATATGTCTATTTATTTGCCCACTATTTGTTCATATTAGTTGTGATTTATTTATACACATTTTTATGCTTCAGTTTTTAAGTTGTTCCTTTGGTTCTTCATTTTATTTCTAATTGGCACTTCTGGTCCCCCATTGAAGATAAGCTTCTTTTGGAATAGTTTCGAATGTGCACTGCAATTAAATAGGTAGCAAGTGATTTTAACTAGTTAGTAGTTACTAGAGATTTTTGGCCTTGTTTTGTTTGTTTGTTAATAATTATGTATTGAAATGATATTCGATTGCTACTCTACAAAAAAGTTTTATTAGTTATCTGTTATAAAATAATAACAATGTCCTTTACACTGTTTGTTAGTCTTCGTTAACAGGAGTTACAAAATATAACTTCCCTGTTGGTACTAAATTATTTCTATTAAATAACTTACGAGATACATTTTTTTTTCATATAGCATCCTCATACATAACTTCACACATAACATAAAACATTAAGATTGTTTAATGGATTAAAATTGTTTTGTATTGTTGTTTTTTTTTTGTTTTTTTTTGCATTTGCAAATTTTTGCCGTTTACAGATAAAACCTAATTTTAATGTGTTGACGTTATTTGTAATGTGAGGAATAGAGATAGTTGGGTGGGAGACTTGCATGGTTTGATTCTTTGGCAACATATGTACACATGTAAACTGGTTGAACAGGTGTGACAGATGTCCCCCCTGATTTGATAGAGGTAAAGTTATTCAGACATTCTCCTTAATAACATAATATCAGCAAAGTTTTCTTTGCAAATTCTAAATGGTGAAATCATGTTATCAGCCAATGCAAAGTACAACATTGTTCAACATTGTTCACATTAGATATTGTTAATGTTGTTTATAAGTCATACTTGCATGCTATTTCCAATCGAATATTAAAAGTAACATGGTAAACAATATAGAGAGTGCTAAATGAACGAATGCAAATATAAAACCAACTTTACCTTTATAATGATTTGCATATTGTGGTTAAGGGAGGTCCATTTTCTCAGTGGGTTGTCAAATTTCTGTATAGTGATTAAATGTGGTTATTTTGTTATCCATTGTTTTCAACAGAATCTCACTGCAATTCTCTACTTTTTTGAATGATTAAGTAGTTAATCTCGTACTTGCGTTTTAGTATTATTTGCTTATCTTCAATGATTGTTAGGTTTAGGAGTCACATTTGAGTGCACACCCCCTTTTCAAAATCTCATGTTTGATTACAAATGAAATCGTATGAATTTGTACAAATTAAAATACCACTTTACCACTTTAAAATAATTTTAATTACTAAATAATTAAATAATTTTAGTTTTGTAGTTTCCACCCACCAAACTGTACAATAAAACTGCAGTAAATCACCATAGAGGCAGTAAAACCTTCTCAACCCTGTTTGTGCAGTTTTAAATTTGGGATTTTTACAGTAGTAACATTAACTAAAGTGTCTGGTAATTTGTTGGAGAATTTAGTGTCTAGTGTCTTTATTTTAATCCTTTATAAGGGCATTGAATAGTAAATCATATATCATACGAATACTTGTATGTTAACAGGAAATGTCAATGAAAGTAAACAGTCATCATTAAACAGTGATGCTTTTATTACAAAAAGACGGATATGCTGTGGACATTGCTCTTACATTTGCTGCTTCTCTTTTCAACAGTCAACCATTGAGCTCTTTGTGAACAGGCTGGATTCTGTGGAGTCAGTTTTACCCTATGAATATACTGCGTGAGTTTAACATGTTTGTCATTTTTTTGTTCATGCAACATTTTTATTTCAGTAGCATTTATATGCTGATACATTGGTTATACATATATAACTTATCAAGGTTCGAAATTAACTTTTTTACTTGGCAGCACCAGTGCTCCTAACTTAAAAAGTTTAGGAGCACCAGAAAATAATTCGGAGCACCCACCAAAAATGAATGAGCAGTACCACTGCAAATTGTACATTAACAGATTTATTGTATTTGAAAACAACATCAATTAGGAGTAACAAAAAAGTGAAACAATTGTCTAACTAACGCTGAGATGACATTGATATTTGTGCAATAATTCCAAAATAAATGTCTAATAATTATAAAACATTAATGATGACGATGATGACAATAATACTGATAATGAATTACATTTCTCATTATCATGCATCTGTGAATGTGCTTGAATGTGAGTTGTGTGCTATGTAAAGACCTACTGTTACTTTATAAAAAATAAATTCATGGTTTGCATCAAACAAAAATATTCAGAAATATTCATTTTGAACTATTCTTTTTATATGCATGATCATTTTATAAATGTTTCTGCTCCAAAACAAACGAAAGATTATAATAAATCATTCAATTCAATGCTAAAAGCTGCAAAGCGGTCATCAGTAATTAAATAGATATATAACATGCATCTCAAGAAAGAACAGACAAAAGAAAGGAAGAAAAGTCTCACTTCTACCACTCTTTAAAGGTTTGGTTTCGGTTTGTGTCATTTTAAATGCTCAGTCTCGTTATGTGCTGATTAAATTTTTTGGGGGGGTGAAATTATGGTGGTTTTCTAGGAGAAATAACAAAATGGGAGATGGGTCTAAAATAGAAAAAGGTAGTGTTGGCAAGTATGGTGATGACGTTTACGATGTTAGATTTTACATTTAGCAGACATTTGCGATAAACGCAGTGAATGCAACACGTCTAGATTCAGGCATGTTTTCCAAAAACCCTTAATTGATCTCGGTTGGCAGATCAACATTTACCACATGACCGCTGTCATCCACAGTATTTTTTGCAACTTAAGGTGGGGTTTGCCAACCTGTGTACTTGTCACTCTTCAGCCGTTTGCATTTTCCGTGGTTACAAAAGCTCCCTGTCATCTGACAGCAGAAAGCTTTGAGTGATTGACAGCTAATATGAATCAATATAGCGGCAGGAAAGAGCGATTCAGCACGTTTTTAGAAAACATTTAAACTACAACCATTTTTGGCAGTCACACAAGTGCTCCCAAATATATTATGAATATAAAAATGGAAAAAAATGCAAAATGGTTGCAATTTCGAGCCCTGCTTATACATATATAACTTTTATTTTCATTTTTAATTTAATCATGGTATTAATACTACTTTTTTGTGTGCTTTTTTTTATAATATTAGTATTTTTAATTGTATTTTAAAATGTATTTAAATTTGTACATTTTGGTATGCCAACTTAATACTTTAGGGGTGTTCGGTTCTGGGTTTTTTTAGTGTGGACTCTTAATTTTTGATTCCTAATTTTGGAGTCAGTGGAATTGACTCCATTTTCATTGACTTAAAATTTTCACTTAAAAGTGCAAGGATTAAACATGCTGTATCATATTGAGCTTTATACAATGCTGCTGTCTCAATTGCAGCCTTAAATTACTGTGCAGTTCTCCTCTGGTCAGACAAAACCAGCAGTTTAAATCATCTGCAGTTAAAATAAAACTGTTATCAGCCTGCACTATTTTAACAGCATATTTTAGTTGTTGCTGTTCCATTTTGTTGAACAGTTAGTATTTAATTGTCATTAAATATAAAGTAATATTCGATGTTATATATAAAAAAAATGAAAGTAAAAGAAAAGCTGAAGAGGATGTAATGCAGCATTCGTGTTGCAGAGTCACTAGAGAATATACTGGAGAGGGAGGAGAGGATAGTTTGAATGTGGAGATTTGTGCTTAGACTGAGCCGAGGGTGGTGTTTTTTTTAACAGAGGCCTTTCAGTCAGACCACTCACTTAATAATCTAATGAAGGCAAGAATGTCTTTGTCTTCTTCAGAAGACATTCAATATGGCATAAACTCTGCATTATTAATCAGCCTTGCACTTACTGTGTGTTCAAGCTCCCAAGGGAGTTCTATCTGAATTAACATGGCTATACATATAACAGCTTTCTTAGTGTAAAATTCATTACATTACAGCATAAACAAACAACAGATGTAAAACTTGTTTAAGGAAATTCACGTAGGTAGAAGAATCTGGTGTCACAAAGTTTTTGTCTAACACAAGAGTTAAATTTAACATGCATATTATGAATAGAATAATTTATTGTTATACAAGAAATTAACTTACAGGGTGATCAGGGCCAGGTTTCATCTTTAAGGGGTTTATTTTGCAGCAAAGATTAGTTGACTGAACATTAACCTGCTCATTACATGTTTTTCTCTACTGGAAGGCTTTTTATAAATACTGTTTTTTTTTTTTTTTTTTTTTTTTTTTATATTTTGTGCAAATGTTTCTCTGCATACATATAGAAGTCCTGGAGCATTAGACTTGTTGGCGTTGTTCTGATGTTTAGTATACATATATCTGAATGAATTGTTCTCATATATTTAATTCACATCTATTTATGGAAAAATACATTTGTATGGCTAATACAGTCAACCCCTGCATGCGGTAATTTTGGGCTTTACTGTAGATCTGTCTTTGTCTTGTGATCTGATAAATCATTATACAAAAAATCCATCTTTGAAGCGCTATAAGGAAGTATGTCCACTGGAGGCTAACCAGTCAAGCCTGATTTATACTTGTGCGTCAGGTGACCGGCGTAACCCACGGCGCATGCAACGCGCGTGGCTGTGCATTTATACTTCTGCGCGCTGTCTCTGTTGGTCTGCATTAACACTTCCGAAACACTAGTTGGCAGTGAGGTGTAAATGTTCCTCTGTGTCAAGTTTCTTGGCTGTTGTTTTGCTTTTCCTGAACACTTCCGGGATGTACAAGTGGCTCTAACTCGCTTATTTTGAGGCAGGAACCGGCGGACGTGCAGCAACTTTAACTATGAGGTAAACACAAAACAAAACTTTCCACCGGAGCTCCTTCACGGTACTCCACACTTGTAAACAATTGCTCGCGCCATTCGCGCGGCTCTCGTTTCCGCCCAGACTCATCAGCGCTACCAAGCCGACCAATCACAGAGTTTACACTACGCGTCGTTGCGAAGTGTAGTTACATTTTTTGAGAGGTGCATGTCAGCGACGGCCACGGCGAAGGACTATGCGTCAGCGCCCTAGCATACGCCGGTGTTTGACGCAGAAGTATAAATCAGCCTTCATACTTGACTAATTGACTAGTAGTATCTAATGGTAGATTTTGTAATGTTATGGCTGCTATTTAAAGCACAATGTTATTTGCATATTTTATTATGACAGCTAATGTTACGTGTTTCATACTTTATTTTAGGTTTGATTTTTGTGCTGAGCAACATGAGAAGCGACCATCTGAGAACTTGGGCCAGGTATTGTTTGGTGAGAGAATTGAGCTGTCCCCATATAAGGTATGTTAGATAGCTTTGTTGCTCAAACACTTAAAAAATGTTGCTATCGATCAAATTTATGCTTTGAGTGTAACATTACAAAGGCTCCACAGTAATATCTAGTGTCAGTGCCTGTACTGGACATGTAATATTTATAATATGAGTAAGTCTGGTGCATTCAACAGTTGCTTGGAGTGAGGGGGTGGCATGGATGTGATTTTGTATTCAGATGTACAATATGCACATGTACAGATTTTTTTCACAGTACCATCTGTAAAACATTCTCATTTGCAGCTCTTGAAAACCACAAGTATAGCCCACTATTGTAGTAAAAAGTACTTTTGACAAATAATAAAGATTATTTAGACACAATAGACAACTAAAATGACTTGTGAGGAGCTTGATAATCATGTCACCTTGATAATCTGTTTTGTGTTCTTTGCATCAGTTACAATAAAATTGTTCTCTTAGTCATGGCATTTTATTCTGTTATCTGAGGTTGTGTTTTTTGTTTCCTCTAGTTTTTGTTCCAGAATGATTTGCAATGCCAGTCCGTCTGCGTCAAGTCTTACAAAACACAAGATGCAGGTGATAAAGCCAAATTGGATTTCCTCAAGAAGGGAATGCTCCTCAATTACCAACACCACTGGTGAGGCGTTTGTCAGTGTCTCTTGTTTTCCAGCTGAAAAACTAAACTACAATGAAGTATAGCATATTATCATTTTGGCTAGCTTACCTGGGGTCAGTGGAGCTGCACTTCAATGCACTAGTGTTGTCATGAGACTGGAACTTTGATATAACAGCTTAAAATATAGATTTTCAATACCATTTTTAAAAGCACAAGAAAAAAAACAAATTTAAGATGAGCAATACTAGAATATAAGAATTAGGCATTTTCCAATCTACTCCAATTGTTGCTTATTTTATTTTCTGATTAAAACAAAAGTGTTATCCTAATATTAACCGCTCGCAGAAATATCTTGAGGGTAAATTACTGAATTTTTAATATTGCATTACACAAACAACAGTACCTAGGCTGATGTTTTTGACATTTTATGTCAGCTTAAACTCCTAGAACTCAGTAAGAGATTACTTTTGTTTGTTTAATTTATTGGGAGATTTAAGGGCGCTCTACTTTACACTTCACTCTGCTGGTTTATTTAATTTGTCATTGATATTGAACTGGGAGCAGTCATCAACCTATCAGACCTAGTTGTTTATACAGGTCTATGCATCATTCTTCGCTTCGCTAAATTTGTTGTATTACCAAATTTAGTCAGCAGTGCTATGTAGCCATGCTTGCACACTGGCCTGTTTGTTTCCCTCTGTCAGTTTGCCTTAAACTAAAAACCATCCTAAACAAAAGTGGTCGCAGGGGTTCAGCTCCTGCCACTGTATGCAGAGGTGATGGGGTAGTAGTGCCTTGTCCAACAGGTCAACTCACTGCTGGTGAGAGAAAGCAACGCTGGTGTTAATACTTACCAAAACCAAAATCGTATAATTTTAAATATTTCAGTATGGAAAATCGATATTTTTGACAACAGTACAATGGACCATCCTTTAACAGTCACATACTGAACTGAATGGAATAATTTTTTAGGAAACTGAAACTACACCAGTATTCTACTACTATTCTAATGCCTGCCTTATATATTGAATTTCTTTCCCATTAATGATTTGTTTTTTATCTAAAAGTAGCTAAATTGTATAAAGCGCTTTAGCCATAAAGGTGACTTTAACTGACTAAACATTTTCTCTCTATCAGGATTGTTGATAATATGCCGGTGACCTGGTGTTACGATGTGGAGGACAATCAGAAGTTCTGTAATCCTGGCTTTCCCATTGGTTGCTATGTCACAGATACAGGACGGGCCAAAGATGCCTGTGTGGTCAATGTGAGTAACACTGGACCACAAATTTTTCATAGGTTAATTTTATTTTAATTAAATCTAAATGCACATTTACATGCAGGCTGACTTCAATGACAAAGACACCTTCTACATCTTCAACCATGTGGACATAACAATTTTCTACCACAATGTGGAAAATGAGGTTGCTGGTGCCAGACTGGTTGCAGCTAAGTTAGAGCCCAAAAGGTATTTTTATGTTCTGTAAATTAATTTCCAACCAGCAACAAGCTAGCAGACAAGGGTGCTGCCAAAATATAATTAAAATGTTGTTTTAGGAGACTGACAAAATATCAGTGTTAATATGGATCGTGTTTCTGTCTTTTTTTTTATAGCTTTAAGCAGTCCAACGTAGACAAACCAGACTGCACAGGACCTCCCATGAGCCTGAGCAACAAGTTCAATGGAGAAATCAGGATACCCTACACTTACTCTGTCAAGTTTCTGGTCAGTGATTTAATTACAGCTGTTTTAAAGGAATAGTAGTTCACTCAAAAATAAACATTTAAATTTTTTAAATTACTTTTATTTTTTTTTTTTTAAATTGCTAACACTTGTATTGTTTCAACCTTGTATGACTTTCAATTTTGAAACGATAAATATATTCATTGTTTTCCCTTCATACAGTCAAAATATAGGCAAATCTAACAAGCACAGCTGGTTGCATCCTAAGGGAACAGATTTTAATTTATGTTTGATTGTTGTTCACTACCTCAATCATATGTGCTTGATGAGCGAGAAGGATTAAGCAACACATTTCAGCTTCTGTTTACCATATTTTATTTGCTCAATGGAATTGTATTCATCAGTGTTTTAAGTTAATAAAAGACTACATTTAAATCTGCTAAAAAGTGATAAGAAAAAAAGTGATAAGAAGACTCTTTTTATTAGTTTTCCTTATTCGTAATCATTAATCGTAATAGAGTTAAAATGTTCGATTTATTGAGATTTTGATTTTAGGCCAAATCACCCAGGCTGGGTAAGTTAAAATTGAACATTTTAACTCTATTACAATTAACGATTAACAACTATTTTATTTATTTAATTTTTGCCCTCATAATTTGTACAGTGTATATACTCCTATATTAGTAGGGGATTATTTAATGAAGGGTGCATTACTTGATTTTAAAATAATTGAAGAAACCATACATTATCTGTTATCTATGATTATTTAGACCCTAACCCTAACATCAAAAATCGACCAGGAAAATTAGATAGTTTATAGGTTCTTAATGCTGATTTAGATTTACTTTTCGATTAATCGCCCAGTCCTTGTTAAGCTCCTATCCTATTATCAATTAGCTAATCATGGTCTTACTTTTCATACTAGAAACTTCTAGTCAAGTGTATTGAGGCGAGTTGGGGCTTAAAGGTATAATTGAGCCAAAAATTAAGATTCTGTCATCATTTACTTATCCCTAACTTGTTCCAAACCAGTTTGAGTGCTTGTTCCAAACCAGTTTGAACAAACAAAAAAACAGCCATTGACATCTGTAGTTTTTTTTTTTTTTTTTTTTTTTTTACCTAGTATGGATTTGAATGGCTGCTTTAAAAAAATTCTTCAGAATAATTTTTGTGAAGAAAAAGAAATTCACAAATGTTTTTAAAAACTTGAATATGAGTAAGACACGTTTTTGTGCGTTTAGATGCCCTTAGTGCCACTAGGTGGAGTACTGGTATCATGTCACATTTATTGCAATTTCCTACAGGGGTGTGCCAACTATTGTCTATAAAATATATGAATTGAAAATATTGATTTAAAGAATATTGTGTAGTGTAGTACCACACAAACCTTAATCAAACAACTTCAAGTTAACTTTGTTCTTTAAACTCTACTGCATGCATTAAATTGTAAAGGCTGTTTGCTCTAACTCTTTAAAATCAAATAGGCTCTGAAACCCTATTGGAAATTGCTCTACTTTTAAACTTGTGTAAAACGTTTGATTTGGCATTTACAGGAGGATAAGACAATTCGCTGGGCCTCCAGATGGGATTACATTCTTGAGTCTATGCCACACACAAACATTCAGTGGTTCAGGTGAGAGCAACTTTCACCTGCTACACATTTTGTGACCCTGGTTCAAACTCAAGGTTATGCGGCATTTTGTGTTGCAGCCTTTGTGAAGTACACATTGGTGTGACATCAGGCTACACTCCTGTGTGTGTTTGTGGGCTCTGGGGAAACTTTACAAGTTTATAGCAAATAGCGTTTAATTTATTTTCAGCAAAAGAAAAGCTTTAAGGCCTTCCAAAGTTTTTTGCCTAAATAAAAGCTTAGTTTTAACTTTGGAAAGCAATTATATTATGTCATACATATTAGTATTCTAGTTTTACTGTTGTTCTTTAAAATGTTTTTTATTAAACACAGATAATACATGCTTAATATAGTAATATACTTCTTTAGTGATTACCAATAAACAGAAAAATCTGTTTAATAATAACTGTTCTAATTAAAACCTTCTTTTCCGTTTAACAGCACAATAGTGTTATTGAAATATATTGTGACAATTTCAGTAACCAGTATTTATTTATTAAATTAAATGGTAATAATAGTTGAAGTCACAAAACATGAATGCTCAGCTGTTTTGTTCTCTTCCACCAGTATCATGAACTCTCTGGTCATCGTACTCTTCCTCTCTGGAATGGTCGCTATGATCATGCTTCGAACACTTCATAAAGATATCGCTCGATACAACCAGATGGACTCTGTGGTGAGTTCCACTCTACAAGATTACATCATAATCTTATATGATCTGTATATATGTTTGTGTGACTGTTGTAGTTTATGCATTTTAGTACAGCCAACATTTTGTCTTTCAGGTGATTGATCATATTTATGTATACATGTGTTTGAGTCTGTCTGTGGTTAATCAGCATAATGGCAAAAGAATACTGTATTTCACTGTGTTACAGTGGCAGTGGCTTAGTGCTGGTGTTAATGAAGAATCTGCCATGCGTTTTGCTCATAATGTGAAATAAATCCACACTTTGTTGATCAACAGTTGAACACTTGAGGCAACAACAGTATTTACTTTGCCATTTTGTGTGTTTGTTTATGCTTTCCTTTAATCTGCACCTCCGTAAACATGTGCCTCGCACGTGCATGATGTCATCGTTTTCGAAGACTCGTTTTCAGAAATGACAACAACAGACAATTTTCAAAAACTTGTAGACCAGGATTGCCCAAACTCAGTCCTGGAGGGCCAGTGTCCTGCTAAGTTTAGCTCCAACTTGCTTCACCCGCCTGCCAGGAAGTTTCTAGAGCTTAATTAGCCGGTTCAGGAATGTTTGATTAGGGTTGGAGCTAAACTCTCCATGTTGTAGACTGTAACTTTTTTCAGATTTATGCTTAGAAAATTACATATTTCTTTGCCTAAAAACACTGCAGTGTATATTACTTCTTAGTGAAACAAATGGTGATAAAGCAAAAAACAAATAAAATTTTTTTATTTTTGCAGAGAAAAGTGGAAAATAAAAAGCATCTCAACTAAATATTTCCTATTTTTAATTTTGTGATATAACATAGTTATGCGGGCAGTTAATTCTGCTAAGGTGACCCCTTATAACTCTGGGTATAAACTGAAGGAAAGTGAGTGAGTGATGCTTGACATGTTAAAGCTTAACTCAGTAAAAAAAAAAGATCAGGCTTCTGAATATTTATCACATTTGGCCTGTTTCAGAAAGCAGGTTAAGTTAAAACTCAGAGTAGTTTAACCCTGAAATGAGAGAAACTCTGGGTTTTCCGTTTCAAAATGGCAGGTTTGTTAAACTCGAGAAATCAGGGTAAGTCAAGCCTGTTTCTAAAAGAGAGGTAACTTTAACTCAGAGTCAGTTACTGTGGTAACTTACTCTGTGAATCTAACCTGGTCCGGAACAGGTTTTATTCTCTAAACTCTTGAGTTTCTGTCGGTCTCCTCCTCTTTTTAAAGATGAAGCGGTATTTCTCGCATTAGTCTTACATTTCCACACACCTATTTTAGAGCTCATATTGGAGATGTGCATAAAAAAGATTGATGGAAACGTCATCTATCACATAACTTTTGAAAATACGCATAATATAACATGTGCATAACTGAGTAGGTTAAACTTTTATTTGATAAGATGCACATAAACTACGAAGTGCACTTAACAAATTACAGTATGTACATTAAAAAATGGTTTGTTAGAGATGATGATGAAAATGTGTGTGAAAGGACAAACCAGCAGACTGAGCACACTGCAGAACATCTTAAATGTTGTTTTAGTCATTCTAAAATGCCTTTACTGTTTCAGTATTAGTGTATATTATTAATGACCTCCGAGTGTCTGGAGCGTGTCAAGATCTCCGCGTCTAGCTTTAAACGCCACCACGTGTTCATTGTGTGTCAGTTGTCTTCTGAAGTACATTAATTAAATAAAAAATCATTAACGCAGCTTCTTCTACCGCAGTAATTATGTTTTTACTGTTGATATTTGACGCAAGTTAATCAGGAAGTGACGATTGTGTTCTCTTCGACTCTTTGGCTAAAAACGCTGCTTTATTTTATTCCAGTGTTGCACAAATTTATGTAATTTTGATGGAAACATAGCTATTGCCTACATTTTTGTCACACACAGAACAAAGTCACGCACTAGGCTTGTCCTTTTTTTCATAAATAATTAGCTTAACCTTCGACATGTACTGTTAGAGATTAATGGGATTATTATTCTGTCTAAAAATTATTTTATTACTGCTTACCTTCTTAATGTTATATAAACCTCTATCACTTAATTAATAAAAAGGAAGACACATAACAAGTGCACTGTTAAATCTATTAAAACTGATAAAAGTGTATAAAAGTTTAGAAAAAAAGTATAAACGTCACAATTACATTACTTATTTTTTTATACTTAAATGTTTAAATACTTAAAATTAAAAATTACGCATTATCTTGAGCAGCTGTTTTCCCATGTCTCTGTTTCACTGATGGCTGCTTCTTATTAAATATATACACTCATATTTGCTATAACTTTGGATGAGCAGATCAAATTCAGCTGGAGAATGAAATGCTGATCTCTTTTTTTTAAGATGTTGCCATAGTCACTCGTAATGTCTGCGCTCCATTGATAATGCCTTTTTATAGTCACGGTGCGCGCGCTTAACTCTGAGTTGGTCTACTCAAAGTTGATTGACCCAGCTCAGATCAGCTGTTCTGAAACCGAAAACTCTGAGTTTTTAATCTCTCTGTAAATCAACTCAGAGTTCAAGTTTAAACTCTGAGTTGTTTAAACCTCCTTACTGAAACAGGCCCATTGTCTGCATTCAATCAAACTGAAATGCTGAAATGAAAATACAGATGAGCGTGGGGCTTTGAATCACCATTGTTCCCACCAGGCAAGCAAAGAATATGACTTGTGTTCTGTTTATTTCATTTATTTTAGTCAGATTGACATGCATATTAAACAATGCGCTCACCACAATATCAGGGAACCTCTCAAGACCTATGTTTTTTAAAGGGGAAGTATTCGCATGATTAAACTAAATAACCAACTAGGGATGTCCAGATCTAATCATGTGTTTGGAAATCATGCCCAATCACAGGATTTCAGACTTTATCAGAATCACATGTTACCTCCAGATCAGGACTTAAAAAAAATTAATTATATATATATATATACAGTTAATTGCTGGTAAGGTAGAACACGGAAGCAGCTTGAACAGGAAAGTGCAAGTGTTTCTAAAATTAATGACGACAGCATTGCCATAGCAAACTAAGAGATATGTAAAGTTGGAATTACCAGCCGGGCATTTTAATTTGAGGTGATATTTGTTTTTAAATTATATATATTTTTATACTAACTGTTTCACTAATGTGCAAAAGTAACAAATTTGTTATTTATTACTTGATTGTTCAAGCTACTTCACAGAAGTGCTCTGTTTATTAACAGAGTTGTTGAATGTTAAAATAGAAGTATCGGATCAGGTATCATATCAGTAGTCAAAATCAATTGACTCTGACTCAAGGGAAAAAAACCTGATCGGGACATCCCTATAACCGACATATGAAAATATGTCAGTAAATGGTTATGAATTTTGGTTTATTTTCGATCAACCATCCAGCCCTTGGTAGGACCCATATTCCTGGGCTGGGATCATTTAGAGCCCATTGAAACTGCACTACCAGAAGTCCACTATATGGAGAAAAGTTCTGCAATGTTTTCCTCAAAAACCTTGATTTCTTTCGTCTGAAGAAAGAATGAAATGACATTTTGCATGACAAGGTAGTGAGTAAATGATTAGCAATGCATAATTCTGGACGTAAAGCAATTGTTCAAAAAAACTTCACATTCACATATCTTTGTATATTTGGGCTTGTCCATCTGGGGTTGGAGGTCATACAGGGTCAGGCGTTATGCGCACACATCTGTTGCTTTTACGTGTTCTCTCTTTCCTGTGTCTCACCGTGACCCGCAACACCCCCTCCACACGCATCAGACTCATTAAAGGACAGACCGAGAGTGACACACTGTATCATTGGTCTGAGCAGCAGCCGGCGTCTTTCCTTTCATCTCAGGGTGCCGTAATTGGGCTGCAGACCCAAAGCCACGCCTGAACAGGGTTCCGTTAGCTCCTGCTATTGTTGAAACCTCGCTTTTCCTCTCCATCTTTTCCAGGAGGATGCCCAGGAGGAATTTGGCTGGAAGCTGGTTCACGGAGATGTCTTCAGGCCGCCTAGGAAAGGCATGCTGCTGTCTGTGTTCCTTGGTTCTGGGACTCAGATCTTCATCATGACCTTTGTCACTCTATGTAAGTAGTGGTAGGATAGTGATAGGATTACTATAGTAGTATAAAATTGAAAAACAGATTGATTGGTTACTGACAAATATCAGGTCAATATTAGTTTCTTTATTTACTTAAGAAAATGGTATTGGTAGTGCTAAAAACATTTCAGACAGCTGTTTAGAATAAATGAACGGTACTACTGTAGTAGAAGAAGAAGGTGATGATGTAATAGAAATTATTACTTTTATTCAGCAAGAATTGAACAACAAATGAACAATTAAACATAACTTTCAAATATGGTTGGGCAATATGGCAAAAATGCAATCTCTATAATTATTTTCCATATTAGACAATAATGGTATAGGTTTCGATATTTATTGTTAATGCTTTCAGATTTAAAAGTGTACCCCAACAATGACTGAAACCACTAAATTTAGAAGTTCTATTGAATGGCAAAACATTTTCAGCCAAAAAATCTTTGGTGGCCGAAAAAACGGTACATCTCTATTATCAACACACTTCTAGATTCCCACAAAATGGCTAAACAGCATTTTGAACTGTCTTTACTATACAAATATTTTATGAAATAACAATAGCAACAAATCAGCATTTTGTTTTTGAAAGATTGTATAAAAATAAAACTGCCTAGCTTTGCCATGACAATGAAGTATATATGCATATTATTTTATGAATAAATATATACACAACCAGTCAAAATTTGAGTTTTTATTCTTAATTAATTTATATATATTTTTAAAGAAAATTATTCTGTTCATTAAGCAGCATTTATTAAATGTAAAAAAAAAATATTTTTTAATTGTTAACTTGTTTATTAAATATGAATTTATTACATATCGTATGTAGTTTCAAATGAAAATTATTAGTCCAGTCATTATTGCTTTTATTACTATTGCCATAAAAAAAATAATAATTAATATTAGTGATTTCAGAAGGATCATATGACTATGAAGACTAGAGTAATACAGCTAAAACAACAAAACATTATTAAAAACAGTTTAAATTGTGTTAAAACCGGTTTTAAAGGGATAAAAAAAATAAAATAAAGACATAATAGAGCAGCATAGCACTGTGCTCATTCAGTAAATGCAACAAGAGTTATTTTATTGAAATAAATATGAGAGAGAAACAGACGATAAAGATATGTTTTAGACAATATCTTTTAGACAGTAGAGCATTTATTAATGTAGTTATTTTTCTGAACAAATAACTTCTAAAGAACAATCAAAACAGTCAAGATATCAAAGAATGCTGCTTTGATCCATTTTACCCTTTGTTGTGGCTGATATAATGTATCTCCCTGGACAGTCCTGAAAGTTAGTTTGGAGCTTTATTGTATTTGCAACGTTTTCAACGGCGATGTGATGGAATTTGATGGGTTTATGTCTGACATTTGTCTGAATTTACTCATTTTAGTAGACATTATGAATTCATGCAAGTTATTCTCTCTCGCTTTGTGTAGTTTTTGCCTGTTTGGGTTTCCTGTCACCTGCCAATCGCGGGGCTCTGATGACGTGTGCAGTGGTGCTGTGGGTGCTCTTGGGTACTCCAGCTGGTTATGTGGCTGCTCGCTACTACAAATGTAAGTAAGCAAGTGGCAGAGCTTTGACCTTTGACCTCTGATCCTCCCTTCATTAGGGCTGTCTGCAGTTCGTTAGATTTAATTAGTGTCAAAGGAGCCCTCTACACGAACAGGCAGGCATACACACACCCCTGCTGCTTTTTGCTTTAGCTGTGTTTGACGGCTTGTGCAGAATACAATGAGAGCTTACCCTTCTTTTTCCCCAACCTGCCATGTTCTACTATGATATCAGTTGTAGGATCCATCTGGTGAGCTCTGTCTGTTTTAACATCAGTCGCGCAGCATTGTTTAATCCTTCCCTTTGATCTTCTCATAGTTTTTTTTCTTCTTATAAACAGAATTGTCACAGATTTTGATGAATTTATTTAATTATTATGACATTTTGGGGATTTTTCTATTTGTTTTATCATCAAACATGTTGAAAATCCTGATAATTTTTAACTAATTTATCTTATTAATATTTAACTTATGTTTGTATGTTAAAAATAATAAGTTGAACACAAAATATAAACGGATGGTGTAATGTGTTGGCTGATTTTCTAAAGTGTCTGTAAATGTATCTGTAAACTAATACTACCTCCAAAACCTTGCACAATGGATTTCAGAATAAAGGTGGAAAAAGTGATACTGAGTGCTATAACAAATGGAAAACTCCCTTTATAATCATTAACACTGTATTGGCCTTGATCTGTAAAATGGAAGTGCACTCGATTTTGCAATTGTTTTACAACTTTTGATTCAGCTATTATTGCGAGAAATGACTAGGGAGGGATAATAAACAGCATAAAATGGTCAAACTACTTGCTCTATAAACGTGTGTTAAGGACAGTTCACTAAAAGTAGAATACTGTAATAAAAAGAACATATCAGAAACCTCAAGAAGTGTAACAAGCTTTTTTTTTTTTTTTTTTTACATCTCAATATCATTGGAAGTGAGTTAGACCGGACATCTTTATCCAAACAGATTCTATGAGCTGTGCCCGTTGTTGGAATCTTTTATCAATTCCATGCATGTTCAATAAAAAAGGTATTTAGAAGGTGCGCAACAGTTTTTATTTCCTGACATAAACTTTATTTATTTTTTCGGGGGTTTTCACCTTTAATGGATAGAAAAGTGGAGAGTATTGACAGGAAAGCATGAGGACTAGAAAGAGGGGAGTGATCGGCATAGGACCACGAGGAGGTAATCGAATTCAGGTCGCTGTGAGTGCATGTGTCGACGCACTAACCACTACACCACTGGCGCCGACTTTTTGACTACAACTTGTATAGGCAGCTGATATTAACAGCTGGAGTTTTATGAAATTCATCACCTGTCAATCATTCTCCAGCCCTTCTTTGGCCGCACCCATACATGCGTCCTCTTTTTCTACGAATAATTTTGCAGAACATTAAATGTCTTTCTCTGCTCAGTTAGGCTTTCTCAACTGCACATATTCTGTGTTCAGTTTTAACACATTTCTGCTGACAGAAAGTTTAGCTGCATAGCTCAAGTTAATTTTAGACATTCAGGCCTTTGCATCTCTGTCAGCTCTATCTACTTCTGCAAAAATGCTTCATTAGTATGCAAAGCATTTCACAGTCAACAGAAGATCAGTTAATATGTCATCTTTAAGCAATGAAAATTAACACAAAAATGTGTTTAGTAAAAAATTCCTTTGTAATTCCTTTATCGCAAAACCACCCCTTTGTAAAAACAATAAATAAATGAGGTTGATACACTGTACAATAAAAGTCTTTCATCCATAAGCATTCTTTGTTTAATCAAACCTGTTAGCATTTAGAACTCTACAATGTTCCGTACTGCACATCTTTCTACATAACTTCTGACTTCCTAAGTAACCAGAGCTTTTCAGAGCTCAAACACTAATGCACACAGGAGAGTTCGAAAGCTCTCCACTTCCTCTCTACTGCAAAACTGTCAATATGTTTCAATTTCAATTTTGACTTCGTATTAAATCTACTTGACAACACAAACTATAAGCAAAATGTGCTCTTTAAAAATGCACCATATATGATTTTGGATACAGTTTCCCATGCTAGCATATAACTTTGTTTACTGAATCCAGCATTGTGCTTTCATTTTTTTGTTGATATGTGAGGTCAACTTGTCTTTCTTTCTCTCTCTCTTCCCAGCTTTCGGTGGTGAGAAGTGGAAGACCAATGTTCTGTTGACAGCTTTTCTCTGTCCAGGGTGGGTAAAATAAAAAATAGCTGATTTGTTTAAATTAAAACCAATGAATTATGGTATTAAGCGGTTTTCATAAATTTTATCAAAGAATTAAAAATTGGCTCTATTTTTAAAATTTTAAATTAGCATTTTGAAATTTTGTGCTTTGACGTAGCTTTTTTAAAATGTTGTTTTTCAGAGTGGTGTTTGCAGATTTCTTTGTGATGAATCTCATTTTGTGGGGTGAGGGTTCATCCGCTGCCATGCCCTTTGGCACTCTGGTTGCCATCCTGGCTCTGTGGTTTTGCATATCAGTGCCCCTCACCTTTATCGGCGCGTACTTCGGTTTCAAGAAAAGCGTACGTTTTATTTTTTTTAACCAATAACATTTTTTAGAACTTAATTATTTTTTGAATAACCCCATCAGTGAAAATTTATTTGACACTTTATTTATTTTTTTGTTATTATAAAGAATTTAGTATTTATGTATTTACTTATTATTATTATTATTATTATTATTATTATTATTATTGTTGTTGTTGTTATTATTATGTATAATAATATGTTTATGTTATTTACTGTTTCATATTAGGCCATTGAACATCCTGTGCGGACCAACCAGATTCCAAGACAGATTCCAGAGCAGTCCTTCTATACTAAACCTCTTCCTGGCATTGTCATGGGAGGAATCCTGCCATTCGGATGCATCTTCATCCAGCTGTTTTTCATTCTCAACAGCATCTGGTCAGTGCTAAAGTGCACTTCATCACAAACCTCTGAGTCTGAAATAGATCAATAATCTTTTTATATTAAGTCTAAACTGTGCATGCTTTGGTTTTTACACATAGGTTAGGGTATGTGTTTAGTGTTTGTGATGTCATTCTCACACACAATATACATGCTTAGACCATCACAGGCAGAAAAGAAACAACAATAAAAACAACAGATTACTAAAGACTAAGGGCTCTCTTTTGACGGTCCATGCGCAAAACGCAGGGCGCAAACACTTTCAGGGCTGTCAGAATGCATTTTTACTAATGTAAGGACGGAAAAATCCGCTTTGCGCCATGGCGCATGGTCTATAAGGGTTGAGTTTATTTTCTTAATGAGTTATAGGTGTGTTTTGAGAATAAACCAATCATAGTATCATCTTCCATTCCCCTTAAAAGCCAGTTGCGTTGCGCCATAAGAGCATTTGCTATTTACACGATGTAAAGTAAGTGTGAGTGGAAAAACTGAGCATTTCACTTGCAAGAAAACAGTTAAACAGAGCATCTGCAGCGCGAGAATGAGAGAAAAATGATCTACTTTCACTTTCGCTCTCGTCCATAGGGAAACCTTTACGCACAGACATTAATTTGCCTATAAATAATTAATTTTGTTTGTTCAGCGCAAATATTTGTTTCAAAACTATTTCTAAATTCATATCTAATTTCCAGCAAATGAATAAATGAACAATATAACGAAGTGTGGTCAAAAACCTGAGTTATATCCTAAAACACATGCTATGCCCCATATGGTCTAAAACCTTCAGGTGGGTAAATCTAAGCTTGTTTTCAATAAACCAATATAAATATGGATATAATAAATAATACTGCTAATAATGATAACATTATACAAAAACAAATTTTTATGAATGAACTGAAAAAGCCTCCTGATGTTTTGTAATATTTTAATCCTTTATATTTATGTCCTATATATATTCTTATTATATCCTATATATATATATATATATATATATATATATATATATATATATATATATATATATATATATATATATCCTTAATATTTAAATTTTTTTCCATATGTAAAGATATTTGCATATTGCTTTACTTCTTGTGTGTATTAAGAAGTGTGTAAGCGAGGTGCAACTCTGCGCTGGATTTGTTCTGGTCTATTGAAAAATCTATTATAGTTTCTCAAAATAGCAACGGGCCAGCAATGCGCCTCAGAACGACTTCCTTTTTAGACCAGAACGTCTATGGGCGCACATATGAGCACAGCGTTGCGCAACGCCTCAAAACCACTCTTGCACCAAGCTGAAACTAGCAAAAAACTATTGCTTTGCGCCACATTGTGCCGGGTAGGGTTGTAACGGTATGAATTTTTCACGGTATAATAATCGTCTAAAACAATACCACGGTTTGACGGTTTCGCGGTATACGGTATGTTACAAATGTTACAAAATAATAGAACAGTGAAGCAAATTTGACTTTTTCCAAATAATATATTTTCAGTTACTATAAACAACACCACTTACAATGAACAAATAAAAATAAGAAAATAATAAATAATGTGTCAAAGTCCAAATAAAGTCCAAATAAACATGGTGCAAATGCTCAGTAAAAAATAGATATAAATATTTACTATACTATAAATAGTTACATAACGAAACTAGATTCAATATGGAACATCCTTAGGTTTTATGTGCCAGCATGGATATGGTTGTCTATCGATATGGATTTGGATATGGTTGTCTGCAATGCAGACAAACAGCTGCATCTTCATTTGCGTCTTTTGAAAACAGCAAGAGCAGCAGTTCGTCTTTGCTATGTCACTGTTTTGTCATGTTTCTGTGCTGCTGTGCATGCAAAAGTACTTAGTATGAGAATTATTTCATGCAAAACTTTTTTTTGCGTTTTATTTAGCCGCGCATAAATGTATGCCTATCTCTCATTCCGTGTTGTTCAAAAAGCTTGGTCCACAAACAAAAGCGAAACCTATGCTTATTGGTTGTGATATAGCGAGTTTAAACCAATCTGGGCATGGAGGAGGGACAATGCATCAATGTATCATGTCTGATTTGTCCGGAGACACAGTGACGAGCGTTTCTTTGTCAAATCAGCGTTGTCAAATGTTGATGACGTAACCACACTGATTCCGGAGCCTCTGAAAGTCCGCGAATGTTATGTGATACAGCACTGGAAAGCTGAGATTCTCTTCTTTATGCCAATCTTTGAATTGTATGAATCGGATCAGCGGATCAAAAGTTATTAAACATTTAAGACTTATTAAACTTATTTTTAGCCGCGGGCGGCTGTCTCGGTCTTTAAGGAGACAGAAAACCGTTAAAGGTTAAAACCGTTGATATGCAATTGTTCATGGTATGATAATCGTGCACGTTCAAATCGTGGTAAACCGTCATACCGGTATATTGTTACAACCCTAGTGCCGGGTGTATGATAGGGCCCTAAAGGTGTTGTTGATGTGTTGAGGCGAGTAATAGATTTCTGCAACTGAAACTGTTTTTGTTGCTCATAACATTTAGAGAGCAAAAGCACAGATACGGATATGGGTAGTTTTTTGTGTGCTTCTGTATACTGTAAAATTAAAATTATTTTTTAAAATAAAAATTATTTATCTCTTTTAGCACACTAATATTATTGAAAATGTAATCATTGATTTTGCAGGTCTCACCAGATGTACTACATGTTTGGCTTTCTCTTCCTGGTCTTTATCATCTTGGTCATCACCTGCTCTGAGGCCACCATTCTCCTCTGCTACTTCCACCTGTGTGCTGAGGTGAAAACACACACACACACACACACACACACGCGCATGTTTTGGAAAATTGTGCTTCTCTCTTTTGTATTTATTTTTTAAATTGACTTTGTGTCTATCTCAGGACTATCACTGGCAGTGGCGTTCTTTCCTGACCAGCGGATTCACAGCTGTTTATTTCCTGGTCTATGCCATCCATTACTTCTTCTCCAAGCTGCAGATCAGCGGACTTGCCAGCACCATTCTTTACTTTGGTTACACCATGATCATGGCGCTCATCTTCTTCCTCTTCACAGGTTTGTGTGTGTAGAAAGTGAGAAGTGTTTGTGAAGTCCTTGCACTTGCTTTTCCTGTGCCTGGGAGGTTAGTGGCCCTTGAAACAGAGTGTGAAGGGGAAGGGCTTCAAGTTTTACCCCTAAGAAATGGGTCAGCACTACAACACCTGCACACATCATCAAATGTCATCGCGATCTCTTGCTTCATATGAGTTCGACGATCGCGACTGCTGTAGTTATTCCAGTTGCTTTATGATTTTGTTAATTATCTTCAGAATTAAAAAAAAGTCACTGAAGGCAATGATATCATGTTATCATAGCTATCTAATGCGGCAATAAGATCGTAACTGTACTGGGCATTTACTTTGTGGCCATATTCATCTATGTAAACACACAAAAACAACTTTAACATTATAGCAGACACCGTAAAAAGCTCATTCCCAGCCACTAGACTTTTCTGACAGGGTATTCGAATGTCAGATTGAAAAGTATGTTGTGGAACTGTTATACAGGAGTATTATAGATAACGAAAATTCCTTTTTTTTATATATATATTTTTTTTTTATTGTAGCGTTTTTTTTTTTTTTTTTTTTTTTTTTTTTTTTAAGCATGATTGTAAAACACGAATGCGATTATGAAAATATTAAAACATGTGCTTGTTTGTCATAAAAATTCGTAATAATGACAAAAACATTTTAATTTGTTCATCTCCTTCCGTGTGCAGCCATTCTGCCATTGCAGATGGTGTATTCTGGGAAATTCTTTTACCCCTTGGTTTCGAGTTTGGTTCTAAAGAATCTCAGTTTCAAGGGTTATCTAGTCTTTCCACTTAGTCATACACTTTTAAGCTAAGAAGAATTGGGACAGTAGAGGTGTCAACCTACACTGGTCTCTCGGTTCAGTTTTGATTATCAGGCCATCGATTCGGTTCAATTCGATATCTTGGTGCATCACGCTGCATTGACGATGCTTTCCATACACAGTTTTATATTTTACTTCACAGCACAACTTTTCTTGTATTAAAATGTATACATTTATATTTATATATTGTTTGTAATACAATTTTGTCCTTTAAAACAAGAAGGCATATACAGTTGAAGTCAGAATTATTAGCCCCCCTTTGATTTTTCTCTTTTTTTTCTTTTTAATATTTTCCAAATGATGTTTAACAGAGCAAAGTAATTTTCACAGTTTGTCTGATAATATTTTTTTCTATTGGAGAAAGTCTTATTTGTTTTATTTCGGCTATAGTAAAAGCAGTTTTTAATTTTTTTAAAAACATTTAAAGGTCAAAATTATTGGCTCTTTTAAGCTATATATTTTTGATAGTCTACAGAACAAACCATCATCCAATACATCATACAATAACTTGCCTAATAACCCTAATCTGCATAGTTAACCTAATTAACCTAGTTAAGCCTTTAAAATGTCACTTTAAGCTGTATAGAAGTGTCTTGAAAAATATCTAGTAAAATATTATTTACTGTTATCATGACAAAGATAAAATAAATTAGTTATTCGAAATAACTTATTCAAACTTATGTTTAAAAATGTGCTGGAAAAAGTCTTCTCTCCGTTAAACAGAAATTGGGAGAAAAAAAATAACTGGCAGGCTAATAATTCTGACTTCAACTAAATAAACTGCACCTTTTAAAAACTCAAGTATATGCACAGTACAACATAAGCATTTGTAGCAAATGAGCAATTGTAAATATTATCTTTTCGCTTTCTTGAGCATTGTTTAGCAAGTTCTTACACCTCATGATTGGTCACACGCTCAACAGGAAGGGCTGCAATCGGCTCTAACGCTCTGGTGCTGTACACCAATGAGTGACACTGATAAACTGCTTCAGTGATCATAGCTGATCCATGTTCGTAGAGGAGGAGAACTCTCTCTGCAGACACGCGCTTGTGTCTAGATCCACAAGTAACGATGTAACAGCCGAGAGAAGATTAAATGTTGCCTCATGCCAACAGGCCAAATGTCCACAGTGAAAGAGAATTGGAATTTACTTTCATTTTCTCAAAAGCAGTGAAACAGGGCTTTTACTGTTAATTTGCTGTCAGTGAAAGACTGTCCAGCAAACACACACGCATATAAATTGTGCACAGTCTTTAATTAGTTGTAGCATTTTAATTACTTGCATTCGCATCTCTCGCCATAGTAATCTACCACGACATAGCACAAATTAGATAAATGGTCTCAGTACGTAATAACCGGTTATGATGTATTACTAAACCGAAACCGAATTGTCTGCGTCTGCATCGTGTTGCACTGAATAAACAATTATTTTTGACACTCCTATGGGACACCCCTACCCCTTGTTTTGCATGTTTACGTGAAGGGAAAGAGCTAAGGGGCAGAATTGGAATTGGGCCTTAGTGTGCTATTTAATTACTTTAACTTTCAAAATATTGACAATTGGCTGTCAGTTTCGCTCATGTAATATTTTGAAAACATTTTTCATTTTGTCCAGGCACCATTGGATTCTTCGCTTGCTTTTGGTTTGTCACCAAGATCTACAGCGTGGTCAAAGTGGATTAAATGAAAGCAATCTCAGATGAGACTGAACTTCTCTTCTCCGCCCAATGTGAGATCCCAGAGGGAGGGACCTGAGCGCTGTTTATCTTCTGTTGCCACGGCAACCCTTCTTTACATCAGCAACTCTAAATCTACAAATTTAATTTACTTTGCTGTGTGTGCGTGTGGGCGTGTGTACATTAGTAGTGCATATTCAACCAATTGGAAGAACTCTACACATCTGCTTCTTTAGTTGGAACAGAATACAGCAGATACACACATTGACCCTTATAACTCACATGGGTATTTACGATTTGGAGTTGTCATTTGTAAATATTACTTACTTTATTCTTTGCTAACGTTCAAATGGAAGGGTAATGCATAAATCGCAGAGAAAACTAGCTCCAGTCATTGAATCTTCAAGGTGTCGGAAGTATGATTTTGTAAATATCTTCTTTTGTTTCTTAAATTCATCAAGCAAGAAAGTAGAAGTTGAAAGCCGAAGGACTTCATTCTTTGGGTTGATTTAAGAGTGAGGCTGTGTGAATTTTCTTTTTTTCCATCTTGTTGATACTGTACAATTACTGCTTGCGTATACTTGTGTATAACCAGTGGGGGGAATGTCTATTTAACTTTTTTGTTTGGTCATTTTTTCTTTGTTTTCTGTTTATGCCTCAACACTTTGTGTGCCTCATTATCACAGAGGAAAATCAAGACTGGTAAAAACTGATTTGGGAAGATGTGAAGTGCCCCGTCCATACACAGGGGTAACTGGAGTGAAATGATTTCTTTTGTTTGTATATATGCACAGCGTTAAACGTGTGTCCAGCATAAACTACATTAGCTTGGTTGGCTACTCGGTTTTGGTTTTTGTCTTCTCTGATTTTGAGGTAATGAGATTACAAGAAAAATGAAAAAAAAAAATTATTAGAAATAAAACCTTGTCTTCAAAAATATAAGTTAACTTGTGTTTTTTTTTTGTGTTTTTGAGAGAAATTGTTTGTCTTAAATGTTAGACATATTTATTAATTAATCTATGACAGGGAAAACAGAGGACTTGTTTTGGCTAGAGACCTATTTCACTTTGGATTGAGCAATCAACTTCCTCCAAAGTTTATTTCTAGGCTGCTTCAGCACACCTGCACGTCTTTGCCAAATGAACCTGACAAGCTGAATTATCTGCTTCAGGTGTTTGATTAGGCTCTGCTAGATCGTGGGCCTCTAGGAGCAGGGTTAAAGACCTCTGGAATGTAGAATGTACTTTCAGAAGTTGGTTATTTTAAGAATTTTTTAACTGATGACCACCTTTTTCCACATGATTATTGGGTTTCAACTGAATGGCTCCCCTTCCTTTTTTTTGTGGAACTTTCATTCAAAAGAACTGCAACAAAATCATTTTGCGCTCAAAATAATAAACATAGTGTAGACATTTAGACTCATTCGCGTAACCAATCTTCTGTGAATAGGTAACAAGACGCTGTGTAAAGGTGATGCCTATTGGTAGTGCTGATTGTCTGAAGTTTGTATAGAAACACCAATTCATTGGATGATGGCGCGGATGCTGACTTGCCACTTTCACATTGTCACACTGGCAAGTGTGCCATCTGATTTCTGTTGAAGAAAGTAAATTGTAATGTCTTGGCAACGGATGCAGCGTTTCATTCTCTTTTCAGGGAACAGGTTAATTAAGTAAACCAAAATGATCTCTTTCATATGTCCAGACTTTGCTGTAGTAATGAATGGTGACAATATACCAAACAAGCTACTGTATATCTGGCTTGGTGGGAGACATATCAGAAAAAGCTCATAACTGGTTCGAGGAGACAAAACCCAAGGTAAATTGTCTGGGTAGAACCACGCTATCACAACACCAATGTCCTCCTGGGGAACTCCTTTAAAGTCCAGTCGTCTTTATTTCTGTAGCACTTTAGACAATGTAGTTTGTGTTAAACCTAATTTACATAGATGAATGGAAAAAACAAAAGCAAAACCATAACTATATTTCACATTGTGGGGCATATTGTTATAATTTTTTATTTTTTTAACAAACTTCAGCGAAAGCTCTGCTTCTGGTAGATTGAGCCTAAACATTTAGAGGTGAATGATGTGGATCTCTATGCTATTAAAGTAGCATCTCTAACCCATTCAATGTTTAGATGCAGAAAGTCCATCGCGGTCAGCACCAAAGCGTATTGAAAGCTGAGGAGATTGCTGCCAATGGCTAGAGGGGACATGTAAAACTTAAAAGCTCTGACAGGATCGATCATGGAAAGCCTTTTATTCTTACCAGATTCAAATTGAGGAGGACGGAAAGAGTAAAATGATACCACATGATATCCAAAAATATAAACATAACCTTGGATACATAGCCTGGTCTGGGACACAAAGTAACCTTTCCCAGACCTGCTGTGAAACCCATACAAGCCTTGCTGACAGCGAGTGTCCCCAACTAGTTTCAGAAAAGTCAGTGCTAATAAAGAGAGCAACCTTGAGAGTCAGAATCCAATCTAGAGCTGGGTTTAATAGCTCAAAAGGAGCTTCCATTAAACATTCTACCACACGGATGAGCAACTTGGTCTTGGAGGACCATTATCTTGCAGTTTTCTTCAAACCACAACAACCATACCTATTATCTATAGGCAGATGTTTAATCAGGGTTGAAGCTAAACTCTGCTAGACAGTGGCCCTCCTGGACTGAAGCTGTCTATCCATGGTCTAGGACAGCTGAAAATTCCAAGATGGAATTACAGGGGGGCCACAGATGCTTGCATCACCCCTTGCATATATGTAGAGGCCAATCAATGGTTCCCCAGAGCTATTTTGTCACTCTCTGTGTGGCAATAGCTGCAACATGAACTGTCAGCACTGGAACTACATAACAGATGACTTGATTGACTACATGGGCTCAACACCATGATTCAAAATTCTCTACTTAACTGTGCAACATCTCAAGGCGATACTCCTGGTTAGATTATACAATATAAGAAGTGCAATATACACTCACCGGCCACTTTATAAGGAAATGTTCAACTGGTCGTTAATGCAAGTTTCTAAGGCATGTAGACATGGTCAACAGGATCTGCTGCAGTTCAAACCGAGCATCTGAATGAGGAAGAAAGGTAATTTAAGTGACTTTGAACGCACACTTCAGGCCCATAAGTACCAAATGAACATTGTGTCAATGCCACAGCCTACCTGAGTATTCGTCACCTTAGAATTATAAGGTTCTATCTGCATTCTGAATGATTTTGAGATATTGAGCTTCAAAGTTTTTGCATTCTATATAGCAAACAACGTGTGTAACAGATCTTTTTCATACATTAACATGAAAGAGACACTAAGGGTTCTCTAAATGTAAATTATCAAAGTTCTCTTACATTTGCAAATTGGAGTAAATAAACCACGGAAAATGCAGATAGAACCTTCTCATTCTGAAAAGTCATATTCTGCTTGGAATTATAAGGTTCTATCTGGTAGATTATTCATTGAAGCATTACTTATCTAGAAATACAATAAAAATATATATAGTTTAGTGTTGTAACAACATGTTGATGCTTGAGAAAGTTAAAATTTTGCTTTCTGTAACATTTATTTCATATTTTTGGATAAATATTTTTTCTTTTAAAATTAAGCATACAAGGCTGTACAAATCTTTTCCCAGTGCAGCTGTTAATTTTATCTAATTATGTTCATATTTATAAAATTTTATGCTTTAAATAAATTATATTTATTGAATCATATGCCCCATGAAATAAATTAAGTTTTTGCCCTTCAAGGCTTAATATTAAACTTATAGACTTTAAAAGAAACAGACTATGAGCAAATGAGTTTAATAAACACTGAAATCATGCACAAATAAAAATATTTTACATTTATATACAATTTTTTAAATATTCATTTATTTTTCAACAATATAAAATTGAGCATTTCATCTCAATTTTTGCGACACGTTGGCACAGTGGGTAGCACAATTGCCTCACATCAAGAAGGTCGCTGGTTCGAGCCTTGGCTGGGTCTGTTGGCATTTTTGTGTGGAGTTTGCATGTTCTCCCCGTGTTTGCGTGGGTTTCCTCTGGGTGCTCTGGTTGATCTTTTCTCTGATTTAGACAAAAAAAAATCATTTATAGGAAGAACATGAGGAAGAAGATTCAAGGTGAGTGGGAATGGGGAAAATGAATGAATTTGCAGATTAAAGCTACCATATAAAGAAAGTCTGGGAATAGGTAGGAATAAGAGTTCAGTAAATGGATATGATTATGCAGTGAACCTCAGACACCATCTTTTCCTCATTCTCATGTAATTTCCTTGATTGTAAAATTCTGGTGTGTCAAAAGGCCTATCAGAACATAAAACAGACCGTTGAGACTCACTGGGTATGCACTCATCAGTCACATCTGCTTTAGGTTGTACATCAAGACCTGACATAAGAAGATTACTAGCCAAAACTCAGACTAATGTGTTGCTCTGGGATCATTAATATGTACACCCAGGTTGTGTTTGATAAGCCACAAGGTTTCCCAATGAGATAACAATGATCATTACCCTCTCTTAGTTATTTTGAAATTTATGTTTATCTTACTATTTATGTGGGACTTTTATTTTGAAAGCAGGAGATGCAGATTGTAAACTATGTGCTACTGAGCCATGAGTGCATGACCTGTTGATATGTTCAGACACATCAGGACACAAAATGCAGGATTTACAAAATTGTTATTATACAGCTCCACCCTGAAAAGACATTAGGTTTGTGTAATTGGATCTTTTGTTAATTTCTCATCTTTATAGTAAAACTTAATGCATATTTTCCAACAAACACATACTGTTGCAAGAGGGATTTGGGTGGTTCGAAAGACCCACCCCTTACTGACACCCCTTCCTATTTTGACCGATATGACATAATGAATTGTAAAAAAAAAAAAAAAAACATTTTTAAGTGTTTTTAAGTTTACTTTGACTTGTATTTACATTGCAGACTTTACAACAAACATAATTTAAAATGTTCCTCATAATTTTTTATTTATTTATATTTTTAAGATGAACATAATTAAATTTTGGTTCTTGCAACACATTTCAAAAAAGTTTGAAACAGTAAAGTATTTCGCACTTTGCAATATTTTTTATTCCTTTTCACAACACTTATAAGACATTTCTAGGGACTGAAGACACCAAGTGAGGAAGTTTTTTAGGTCTAATTTTGTCCCATTCTTTCTGAAAACATGTCTTAAGATGGGCAACAGTACAGGATCTTTGTTGTTGTATTTTGTTCTTCAAAATGTGCAACACATTCTCTATTGGAAATAGGTCGGGACTGCAGGCAGGCCAGTCAAACCTGTATCCTCTTTCTTCACAGCCAGCACTTTGTAATGTGTGCAGAGTGTGGTTTTGTATTGTCTTGTTTGCATTGTCTTGCATCCCTAAAAAAAAAGGCAGCATATTGTGTTCCAAAATCTGTACTTTTTAGCATAAATGTACTTTTTAGCATAAATGGTGCCTTACAGACGTGTAAGTTACCACTGACACAACCCCATTCCATAACAGATCATGGCTTTTAGACTTATTGCTGGTAACAGTCTGGATGATCCATTTCTTCTTTGGTCCAGAGCACACGGCATGCATTTTTCCCCAAAATACTGATTCATGACCACAATACTTGTTTTTGTAACCATACTCTCTTTTGCTCTGCGTTGTGTAGTGAATGAAGAGAGGACACCATTTTCAGTCTGCACAGAGAATGTTATAATGACAGATCGGCAGCTTTAGCTCATTCCAATAAATGCACACTCCTTAGTTCAAGGTAAAGGTTGAAATAGAAGGATAAGCAAAATATGAGGAAACAAGTGAGAGGTGCCGCAGAAGAGCGGGAAAACAGGAAAGGGAAAAAGAAAACTAGCTCCCACAATTACAAAAATCTGCATATGAACCGTAACAATCCACATATTACATTGTCAAAATAAAA